CCGTTTTCCCCATCCGTGTAATGGGCTTCTGTGGTGCTCTGCTCAGGGTGGGATTCCTGTGCCCTGGCACCCCTCGGTGCTCCCCGCCCGTGCGGGATGGTGCCGGGGTGCTGACTCTGTTTGAATCCATTCCGGGACGGTTCATACCGTGAGGGGGGACATGGAGGACTGCCCTCAGCAAGGCAAATGGACACGACCGTCGCATTTAACAAACCCGCTGGATGCATGGGATTCAATACTGAATAATTATTGGCATGAACGCCCTATCACGTGGAGATGATGGCTAATTCCTGGAGATGCTGGGGTGGGGGGCTGGCGACCCTAGATGGTGCCCATCCTTGGAAGTCTTTTAGCACCCGTGTCTTCCCCTGGGCGGGAGTGGGGGGATGAACAGAACCAGAGACGATTCAGGTGGGAAGGGAGTCTAGTCTGACCCCCTGCTCCGAGTGGGACCAGTCCCAGCTACAGCATCCCAGCCAGGGCTTAAAACCCTCCAAGGACGGAGATCCCACCGCCCCCCTAGGGACCCTGTTCCACCTCGTCGCCACCCTCCTAGTGGGAAAGTTTTCCCTACTATCCAGCTTCAGCCTCCCTTGCTGCAACTGGAGCCCATTGCTCCTCACTCATCCCTTGCGGCCGAGAGATCTGGCCCCGTGGACAGCACGTGCTTGTGCAGCTCCGAGCACTCCCGAGGCCGGGCCCTGCTGCCCCACGAGCGCGTTGCACAACCACACGCTGAAGCTGTTTGTGCCCTGCACCAAGGAGGGAAGGCAGAGCGGCGCGTCCCCCTCCCTGCCGGCCCTCTGGCCTCGTGCTTCCTCCACGAGGAGCCGCTCCTTCAAGTAGCTGTTTGTTTTCCAGCCAAGGCAGTGACAGGCCTCGGGCCTGGCTCTCGTCAGGGCTTTCCAGCACCGTTTGATATTTTCCCCTCGTGCTCCTGCTCCAAGTTCGAAAACCGCTGGATCTGAGGCTCCATTTGTCACAGAAACCTGGATGCACGCGGCACTCCTGTAGCCACGGGCTGCTCCGCATCAGAAAAGCACTCCTTCAACTTCCCGGCCCCCTCCTGCCTCTCGGAGGGAGGCTCAGCACCACCCAAGTGCAGGCACCCTGCTTTTCCCCAAAGGGCTGATGTTTTAAACGCAAGGGGAATGAGCGCTCTCGGGGGCAGGCACATCTCTCTGCTGCGTGAATCCCCGTCAAGGTGAATTAATCGGGTCCCGTTCCTTAGCTAGATCGATGGCTGTCCCGGCCGTGATGGATGCGTCCTTGGCTCTCGGTCCGCGCCATGTCAGGATGACTGAAGACCTCGTTCCGGCCAGGGCTGCAGCAGAGCTGCGGGCTGCTCTTGGGGAGGTCCCGGGCGGCTGCTTTCCAGGGATGCTTCCAGGAAAGCTGGACCTCGCTGCAAGGAGCCGAGCCCGTGTGTGGGTAGCCCGTTCCGACCCCAGAGCCAGGAGGTGGATGCATCTGGGTCACAGCTGTTTCCACAGGCAAGCGATGATGGTGTGTTCCCAGCCCCGGGTCAGGGTGCAGCTGGGGCTGGGACGCAGCTGCTTTCTCCCGAGCTTC